GGGCCAGGGCACGAGCAGGAGGAGGATTATCGCTACGAGGTGCTCACGGCCGAGCAGATTCTGCAACACATGGTGGAATGTATCCGGGAGGTCAACGAGGTCATCCAGGTGAGGGGGGCCCGCCGCGCCGGCTTGACCGGGCCGAAGCAGGGAGCGGATTCGTTTGGCCCGCGCGGCCCCAAGGGGCAGGCTTGGGCCTGGTGCGCAGCCCAGCCCGGTGCCTTTTCCAGCCCTGCCTCCTCCGCTGTCTCTGCTGGGGATAGAGGGTGTCGGAAGCCGGGTTTAGGGAGGTGCTCGGGGGCGGTGCTTCCCTGGTTCTGCTATGGCGGAGACCTCCGGCCGCCTAAGCCTTCTCTTGCGGGCAGGAATTGCCCGACCCTGGGCCCGGTGTCCTTCCACTGGTCGGAGGAGAGCCTGGAGGGGCGGGGCGGAGGAAGGGAGTTGGTGGAGAAGAGTCAGGAAGAATTGAACCACCTAGAGGGTTACCCTCGGCTTCAGTCTCCCTGCACTTTTGGAATCGGTTAGGGTAGGCCTAAGAGCAGCTTGGTGTACGGTTGCCCCAAGTGGGCACCAGTTAATAAAGAAATGGATCTCCTTGGCAATCTTAAGTGCCTACTTAAAAGGTGGGGGAAGGGAACTGTTTCTCGGAAGAGGTGTTGATGGGCCTTCTTTTCCGATGGTGAGGCGTCTGCTTACATGTTTTTACGTCTCTTCTGTTTGGGACCTAAGGCTACTGTTCCCAGTTGTAGCATATGACTTGCTTGAAGCTGTTGGAGTAGTTAACTGCAGATTGCATACCCAGCTTTGCAGCTCAACAACAACAAAACGCAGTGTTATTGTCTAATATTGGACAAGACTCTGTTATAAGTTAGAATGCAGTGGCCGATATTTTGCTTCTAGACTCGTTTCTCTGATAATTTCTGTTTCGTGGTCAGTAAGTTAGGTTTGGTTGAAGTTGATAACCACATCTCATTTAACCTTCTTGTGGGTCACATTTTGCATTTTTTAAGCTGTAGGAAATAAAAACTTACAGTTTGTTTGGAAAAACAGTTGTGATGAGAGATCCAGGGGTAAGGTTGAAAAATAAAATGGAAGTCTTGATTGATTGCAACTTTGAGAAAGCACTAGTTACGTGGAATGAAACTATATGCGTGCATGAGCAGCATATTGACTTCTTGCGTCAGTCATTTTTTTTAAACTTCAATTAGTTGGCTAAATTAATTTACAGATTAGCAGTATGTTAGTGCTTACTTGTTGAGTTTCCATAATTAACAGATTTTACAGTCTTGTGTTTAATAAGCAACGTTTTCTTTTGAAAATTGAACCATCATTTGAAGAGAGTGTTTTGAATAGTAATAAAAATCTGAGCTATCTAGTGCTATTAACTAAACAGTGGACACCTCAAACTTTCATGCAGATAACAAAGCCTAAGAAGGAAATTAAAGAGTCGTAGAAGATAAGTTTTAATGCTCTTTTTTTTGATCCTAAAAATATGACAGTTAAGCTCTTAGGTCACTAACTTGAGAAATTACTACAATTTTTTTCTTTTGAGGGAATTTCATTAAAAATTTGTAGTAAACCTTGAATACTCTTCATTTTTCTACAATAATATATAATCTGTTATTTTTGAACTTATTACCTGACACATTGGCGTTTTAGTTAGCTTTTAAACTGGTATTTAGCTTTTTGACTTCTTTGTAGTCTGTCTTCGTGTAGCTAAATCTTGTCCGACTTTCTCAGGTTTTAGGTGTGTCGTAATCACTGGGGCCAAACCTTAAAAGTTCTTAATGTCACCTCTGGAAAAGAAATGTAGTTAATGCATATAACATCGTTCTTTGTTAGTTTATGGGAGAGTGAATAAATGGTGATGAAATGAACTAGTAAAAACTAGAGATTTTTTTTGGTGTCCTACTTTTACCGTGTTTCCATGCCTGATTTTATTGTTTTTCTAGTCTACTTCATTTTAAAGATGCTCTCTAATAAACTTACTGAACACATAGTGTCCCTTCTTTAAAGGTTTATATTTAGAATTTTCAGTAAAATAAAGGATAGAATGTATCCCAGACCATCTTTTCTCCAAATAGTATGCTTACTAGGTTTATACTAGGCTTTGGTTATGTTTTAGGTTACTTGTGTTTATACATTTAGACTTAAAAAGTTAGGCAGCTAATACATACACATTGTAAGAAAAACTGATTAAGCAAGAATTAAAAAAAAGAGAAAATAAACCTGCCACCTGAAGAGATAAACCAAAATATGAACAGTAGTTATCTTTCCAGACCTCTGGATAAACTACATAATTTTTTAAATAACAGTGGGATCATACTGTATGTTTTATTTATGTTTTCACTAAAAAGAGCAGGTTACAAAAACAATCCCTCAACAACTTTCTTGTGTCACTAAGTAACTTTTTCAAATGCTTACATGTGATTACAGATCTAAACTGTTTAATCAGTCTGTTGTTATTGGTCTTTATTTTTATTTTCTAGCTTCTTGTTTTTATAAACATTACTGGGAATATTCTCATAGATAAATATTTTATTTCCTTAGAGTAAGTTGAATTGTTGAGTCACAGGATTTGCTTATTTTCAAGGCACTTGATACATACTACCAAATTGCTGTCAAAAAGGTTATGCTAGTAGTATGTACTAGTTTTTCCCACTTGTCAGTGCTTGATTGGTATAAAATGGTCATTTTTAAAATTTGCTTTTTTTTTTTTTTTTTTTTTGAAAGAAGTGTTTTGTAATCACTGAATTTGCTCTCTTTTTTTTTTTTTTGAGGTCAAACTTCTAAAATGTTTCTTTTTTGAATTGGCATTTACTCTTTGCTCTTTTTTCCCCCTTTCGGGACATTTATTTGTTACTGGTTTATAAGATCTCTTTATATTCATAGGGAGCCCTGGTGACGCAGTGGTTGAGAGCTCAGCTGCTCCTTGGAAACCCTATGCGGGGCAGTTCTACTGTGTCCTATAGGTCAGAATTGACACAATGGCAACGGGTTTGGTTTGGGTTTTTGGTTATATTCGTAGAGGTTTTAAATATCAGTTTAGATATGTCAGTTTAAAAAACTAATGTTTAACAGGTTTTAAGCTTATCAGGTTTTATTTAGTTCACGTTAGAGTTTGTCAACTTTAAAAATTTAAAATTTTCTGCTTCCCGACTGTATGTTCCAATGTGAAATATATTATTAGTGAATTTGAAATACATCTGCAGAAGAAAATGTTCAAAATATAAAAAGAGTGGTAATTTAATCTTCCCTTGGGAACTTGATTATTTTTTCTGGGAGAGGAATTCTGGCAGCCGCAGTAAGTACTGTCATTTATTGAAATCTATAGGTTAGTTCTAGTCTTCAACCAAAGTAAGTCATCACTTTTTCTTTTGGAAATTTTCTCCGGCTTTCTGTAACTCCCTGGTTATAGCCTGTTAAATTTGGTCTTCTTTTATTAAAATTCCTTGTGGCTACCTGTCTTACCTTTTGAGCTTTTAAGAGATCAGGTATTTTCTTTAATGATAGAGAAGTGCTTAAAGCCCTTAACTTGCCAAACTATATTTACTTAACTAGTATTGCTGACATTAAAAAGTCGATTTCTAAAGTATTTGCCTAAATAGCTAGGCAGTTCATTAAACTATCGCTACACAGTTGTGTAGTTGGCGGCTGTTTTGTATTTCCACAGCAATGTCCAGGAAATGTTTATTGTGCATCCTGTGTGTGCCAGGCACTGTGTTAAGTGGAGGGCTTGTCCTTGCCTAAAGAGCACGTTGTGATGGGGAACATAGACATCCTTGGCCTCCATTGCCAGAGATTCTTATTTATTAAGTAAGTCTGGGGTGGAGCCTGAGCATCTGTTTATTTTTAGCCGCTTCATTGGTAGTTCTTAACCACTGGTGTAGTGATAGTTTATCCACTGTCATGATTTGACTCAGGGAAAATGAATAGAGTGAGAAGAGTAGCAACCCTTAGGAATATCACATTTGAAGGGTATGCTGAGAAAGGGGTATGGGGCTGTTTGATGGGAGGAGTCTGAGAGGAGGTACAAGGAGAAGTAGGTGAGTGTCTTGCTTTTTTCTAGGATTCTTTTGCTAAATAAGCCAATTCTAAAAACAACAGAAATATCTCTTACAGGGGAAAATGGCTAGCATTTCTGTTAGCTATTGATTTGAAATTAAAGAACTACTTCATTCTAACATGAAGTTACAAGTGTGAATTAAGGGAGGCAGTGTATTACAGTGTTTTGTGTAAGGGTAATCAGTTCTAACTCTGGCAAGATAATTTACATATCAGAACCTTCATTTTTTTTAAATCTATGAAGTGAAAACGAGAGTTAAAGTACTAGCTCGGTCTTTTTTTACATTAAATGTTTCATTTGTCATTATCTAACATCTTTTAAAAACTTTCACGTTTTCCTTAATTGGAGATGCTCATTGTTTCCAATAAATTGAATTCAAGTGTGCATGTCAAGAGTAATTTAAATTGATTAATTTAATTGTTGGGGGGATAGTGTGTGTGTATTAAAGTCATTAAGGTTTAGAGTTAGTCCACTTCAACTTTTACCTTTTCCCAGCCTATCTCCTTGAGCTATAAGTTTTAAATTACAGTAAAACTTGTTGAATTGCTTATGGCAATACTCAGTCCTATGAATCGGAAACTCTGGGCATAGGATCCAGCAGTGTGTTTTAACAAGGCCTCCAGGTGATGCTGATGCAAGCCAAAGTTTGAGAACCACTGATCTAGTTGAAATTTAACAGTAGTTTTTCTCCGTGTGTTATGATTAGTGATAAATTACTACAGAGGTGGGTTAATGATGGAAGGTAAGTTGTTTAAGAAACTAATATAAGGACAATTTCAAGAGCGTGGGCAACATTTACTAGGCTAATCATAGGTTTGGAAGGAATTTGTCATCGTTACTGCTATCCTGCTGATAAGGTGGCCTTTACTCAGTTATTTCAAACTTTCGAACCAAACTAGTGACATCTCTCTAGGTTGGAGCACTTAGGTTTTCTTTCACTGCTCCTTCCCCACTGGAGTTGAGAAAAGAGTTTTCTTATTCATTAATACTATAGAAGGGATATAAAGTCTTAGATACTTTCAGTGCACCTGCTTAGTACAAT